TCTTTGGCGCCTCGCTTGAACTTGTGCCGGATGCGGCCGGACGCCTGCTCCCTGACGTGTACGTTGTACTTGTAGAGCACGCTCTGCGGGCGCGCGCCCCGCCGGTCTACCCGCTGCACCTCGCTGCGCATTGCCTGGTAGCGCGTCACATGCCGGGCGAAGGCGCGCGGCTGCCCCAGGTATACGCCAGGGAAGGCCAGCTCCTCAGCTTTACGGTCCCACACGACACTCACCGGGGTGCTGTTCTCGCCCGGCGCCACATCCACCTCGTCGGTCTCCGGGTCGGTTCTGCACGGCACGGGCGGGCGCGCCGGGCACGCGCGGTCCTCTGCAAGCAGTGAGTGCTGGACTGTCCCGAGGCGCGAAAACATCTCCTCGTGGTCGGCAGGTTCGTCGGGCTGCCCGAAGAATACGTCTCCCTCCTCACTGAACCGCGGCTCCTCTTCTCCCTCGGCGGGCGCGGGCGGTGGGTCCAGGCGGGACTCGTCGAAGACGACGCCGTGCTCGCGATACAGCGGCGAGCCCTGCAGGTAGCGGCCCCACTCCACCAGCTTGCTCTTGTCAACGAAGCTCCGCGCGTATGCCCGTCTGTGTATTAGCTTGCGCTTGATATTGACAACACACAGCTCGTCTTCCTGCGGCAGCAGCGGAATGACGGTGCGCACCGTGTCGGCCGCGTCCGTCGGCACGTTGATGACGGAGCCCCGCACGCCGTACTGCCCGCGGCTGCCCAATTTGCCCAGGTGCACTATCTGTTGGAAGGGCAGGCGCAGCGCCAGGACGTGCTCTTCCACCTCGGTGAGAGGTCGCAGCCCGGGCGGCAAAGGCGGGTAGCGGAAGCCGTTCACCACGGCCGTCGGCGGCACTTGCATCTTCACGATGTAGCCGTGACAGGTGGCGCACAGGTCCTGCCGGCCGGGCTCCGTCACCAGCTTCTCGAGGTGCTCGCTGACCGCCGGGCCCATGTCCTCGCCGAGGCGCTCCACGTTAACGCGGCGCACGGCCCGCTCGTTGAGCAGCCGGTCGCACACGTAGCACTGCGCCGCGCACACGCCGGCCAGAGTGCGGGTCACGCTCGCGCACACCGCCGCCACCACGGCGGGGTCGTTGGGGCGGGGGCAGATCTGGGGCACAGCAGCGCCGTCATCCGAGTCAGAATCATCCACGAGAGAATCAATATCCGGCTCGCTCTCCGAATCACACACGTGGCCTGCGCGCAAAAGAAAGCAGCAGTTAGTTGGAATCCTGGTTCTACAAATCCACCACAATAAAGCAGCCATGCAAATTAGCACAGTAAACTTACGATCGTTCCAAACCGAGAACACATTTCGAATAGAGCAATCTAAGCCAACTCCGTTGCTTTCTGGTGTGTTTAAAACTGTAAAAATATGCGTCGTAACAGGTAATAAATCATGGGCAAAATTGCAATGTTAAAATTTGTTGTTTATAGACGACCAAGTACTCACGATCCTCTGTTGGGTTGCCAGAGTTCTGCTGTCTCTGCCCTTTTTTTTTCTCTGCCGCGGCTCTCCGTCGTTCTCTCTCTCTCTGCCGCTTCTTCTCCTTGTCTGCCTCCGAAGCAGCCGCAGCCTTAGCTGCCGCGCGCTCCCTG